CCTCGCCCACTCTTTCTCTCAAAATAAATAAATAATTTTAAAAAGAAAAAAAAAACGTTTAAAAAAAAAATGGAATGCCTCGGTGGCTCGGTCAGGTAGGCGTCCGACTCCCGCTCAGGTCATGATCTCACGGTTTGTGCGTTCGAGCCCCGCGTCGGGCTCTGTGCCGACAGCTGGAAGCCCGGAGCTGCTTCCGATTCTGTGTCTCCCTCTCTGCCCCTCCCCTGCTCTCTCTCTTCCTCTCTGTCTCAAAAATAAACATAAAAAAAGACACGGAAGCCCTAAGAGCAAGACCACCTGAAAGCGTGGCTGCTGCCTGAAGCAGGTGGCCCCCTGGGCAATGGCAACCCTAAATGCAGGGGAAGATGAGCGGGGAGAGGGATTGAAGAGAGAAGGGGCCGGGGCGCGAGATGTCTTTGAGAGCATTAAAGTCTGAAGGCAGTGGAGACACACAAGCCCCGTGATCTCAGAATTTCTCAAGAAGCCCCATCGGCCCTGGGAGATCAGCGCACACCTTCCCAGGGCCCAGCGAGCGGTCCTTCCTCCCACCACGGGCCAGCAACGAGGGGAGCACAGGATGAAGCAGTTGGCTTGGTTTGGGATCTTGAAGGGAAAACGTGCGAAGACTCTGGAATCCGCATTGTGGGGACACGCAGGGGGAACAACCAACCACAGAAACTACAAACGTCCCTCTGCGGCCCGTCTCCCAGGGGGGGCTCCGGTGCTCGATGAAGGGGGAGAATCCGCCTCTGTCGTAACAGGTGCTCAGGCCTCCCTGCCACTTTGACATAAGAGTAGAGACAAAGGGGTCCTCCTGCCAAACACAACTGTTTTGAGCAAAAGAAAACCTGTGGTGGATGACGTTTCTGAAAAACATCCCTTGTCCTGCTAAACAGAGATTCGCACTCTGAATCCTGGGAGGGCGCCCATGAGGCTAAGACACCCTGTCGCCCTCACAGCCCCCAGGGCACGATGCCTTGGGTTCAACAAATAGTTGTCTATTAAGTAAAAGAGGTGGGTCCCTCTAAATGATAGTGAATGGAGACATACGGTCCCAACGCTGTAATAAATGCCCATCACCGCCGATTCCCTTTCGTGACGATGATGACACAGCCTGGCCGTCCTGGTTTATCTGAGCATGACCGGTGGTAGGAAATGTTACCCAAACATCATGAGTTAGCAAACAAGAGTGTCCTGTTCCGGAAGGGTGTCAAGATTGACCTATTCTAGGTTTGGGAAAATGCCAGAAAGGCCGGGGGTGCACGGATACGTTCCCTGGGTGCTAAAGGTGGGGGCTTTTCCTTTCCCACATTTTCGTTAGTTGTGTTTTCTAAATGTTCTACAAACCATGCAGGATTCTCAAAAGGGGAAATAAGGGTTATAAAAGGGGGGGGG